GTACAGAGGCCAGGACTCCACCCCACACCCACGCCTATCTCACTCATAAACACAACACCCAGCCAGCAAGGCCCTCCAGCCTGTATCCAGCTTTTCTTCAGTTCTGAGGAAGAGAACTCACAGCCTTGACTTGTGAGAAGGCCCCCACAGGGAAGCTACTCAGCAGTGACTCCAGGACTCCCATACCAAAGGGAGGGCACTTTGACTGTCCCAGACTTTAGCGGATCATTAGCTCACTTAAGAAAGCGTTTAAGAGACCTAAGTTCTGTGGTTTCCCTTCACTTAGGGACAGATGCGGATTCAAGTCCTCACCACACTGCAGGGCCTTCTACCTGCCACCTCTCAGCTTAGTTCAGTGTTATCTGTGAAATGGACTCAGTGGGAGGAGTTTCTGTGTATTAGAGGCAGAGAAGGATGCTGTACCAGAGACTCAGTGCTGAAAGTTTATAGCTGCAGTCAAGCTGCATGCATGTTTGTTAAAGCACGTGCAAACCAACATTTTATCAGGGATTTACAGTTTCCAGAACTATCCCAGCTCTACAACCTGTGTCCTAACTTTCCACATAAACCATGAAACTGCCTCAAAAATTCCACTCTCTCGATATCCAAACACCTCCCAGGCCTCCTCTTACAGAGAGCGCCTGCACCAGGGAAAAAGCCCAGGGCCACCAGGTCTCCCTGGGATCTTCCATTTGGTAGCTGCCCAGCAGGTCTACACCAGTAGGAGCGCCACCCACTGAAGGAGACACTCAGGGAAGACAGGCTCAGCCCTCACCCACCCTCCAAGCAGCCTTCCTGGGTAGGCAATATGGTCAGAGGGTGTCTGTGAGGACTCAGGCAGCATCCTGTGGCCAGTAAAGGCCATACTATCTTGGAATAAGAGACACCAAGAGGCGTCTCTGGCACAAGGTACTCCAATGCAGAGGCAAGAAAGAAAATCCAGCAGTTAGCTCTATACAGAGTGAGGCCTGCCTGACTCAACAACTAGAGAGCACCCCAATTACTCCGAAAGCCAACTACCTTGGAGGCGTAATGCAAGTGCTAAGCCATACCTTTCCCTGTATATTTCCTGACAGCCATCCCTGCTTCTTAATAAGGACCTTCAACTTGAAAGGACCTAGAATCACACAGGAGGCAAGCCTGACTGCCAGGCATTTTCTAGATAGGTTAAATTAAGGTGGGAAGACCGTTCACAATGTGGGTGGTACCATCCCCTGATCCCGGGTCCCAGACTACATAAAAGAAAAAAGAGAGAAAGTGAGCGGAGAGAGAGCGAGCCATGACCTCTCCCTGCTTCCTGTGTATTCAACCTGACCAAATAACTAAAGCCCTTGCAGCGGAGAAATAAAACCTTCCTCCTAAAGCTGCCTTTGTCACGTATTTGGTCACCCACTATGGCTGCCATCACTTGCATCTAACTTGATCCTTCTTCCAATCACTCAGGAGATAGATGGGTGGATAGATGCACATACGCATGTGCACGTGGTCTTCGCAACCCTGCTGTGAACAAGATTACAGCCCAGTGCATCTTCTGGCTCTGCAGCATCTTCTAGTCTCGAGGCCTGACACATATTAGAACCTCACAGAAAAATCTCCACTTGCTATCGGATCTGCGCTTAGGAGGGTCTTGGGACAACCAGGTAACCTGGAGGTAGAGGTGGCTTCGGGTGCAGAAACTCCAGAAATAAATGCAAGACTTCTGGATTTCCACCGAGGGACTACAAAGAGCTTCATGACGTCTCCTCTGTCAAAAGAGGCCTTCATGGAGACCTCTGTGAGATCAGATCCTGAGGTCACTAGGCCCAGACAAAAGCGATGGGGACATGACCCAATCTTCTCTCACCTGAAGTATGAGGGAAAGGGAGAAGAGACCCACCAGCACTCCAGCCCTGAGGAGAGAAAAAGGGCCAGGCTTTGCTTTCCAGGAATTGACTGATGCAGGAAGGTGAGCCCTGTAATTACGGTCAAGAGGGGGGACCACAAATCACCGATTGCTTCCCAACACACCAGTCCCTGGGAACTGAAAGGAAAGAGTGTATGCCACGTCTTTGGGCTCCTCCAGCCAAGTTATATCCATTCTAGAAAACAGTGCCTCTTGCACTCACAGACCTGTATATAGCTTAGACAGCCACAATGAGTCCTCTTATCTCTGGTCTCACTCTATCTTTTCTAGCTCACATATGTGTGGTGTGTGTTGAGGGGGAGGGCACAACACTGCTATTAAACTTCCAGGTCACAGCCAACAAAAACTGAGAGCAACAACCATCCTAGGACTGAGACCAATGACCAACCTACAACCCCGACTTCTTCCTGGGAGAAGATCGGTCTCTGACCTTGTCTTGCTGGCAGGAGTTGAGACCTCAACAAACATATTTAAAGCTACCATACCCTCGCTATGGGATCAGGTAAAATGAGGGCTTTGAGCTGAGATCTTGGTCCAGAGCCACACTAAGGTCCATCACAGATCTGGCCTGAGCTGCATGGAAGATCCCTGGATTCCAGGTTGGGGGTCCCTTGGCTTATTTATGCTTGCCTACCCACAGCCCCCACACCTTCCAAGGGGAAACATTTGCTCACAGACACACCTCAGCTATTTTAAATGCCCTCAGTAACCTCAAGTCTGCCATTCATGTCTAATGTGCCTACACTAGTCTACGGAGGAGAAGAATCACCAGGGATAACACAGATCAATATAGAGTATTAGGCATGTTTTTATTCTATTCTAATTCTCGGCAGACTGGTATTCCATTAACTGTATGCTGGGATTTATGGGAGAGCTCATATGCTAGAATATTTAACTAGAATGGCCTACTTTTAGTCAGAAAATAGCTTACCATTGTTAATTTTCAACTAGTCAATCTCAGGAAGGCTTCCAGTTTCCAATATAGTCTAGATCCTGATTTAATCATCAGGAAAGACATCTGTGTAAGGTCTTTCTACACCACCCATGGCAGTCTTATCCAGAAGAAAAAGCTCTGCCCCCAAAACCAGAAGATTTGGTTTCCTCCATCCCAGTCACACCCACGACGGTACAGTTGCCTGCTCAGAGCCTCGATTTCTTCCTCTATAAAATGGGAGTGACACCAGTCTCAGAAGGAGACCTGTAAAACTGAAATGAGATAGTCCATATACCCAGCACAGCTCTGCAAAGTGACTGCAGAGTTTCGATATTATCATTAAAAAAAAAAAAAAAAACCTCCAGATGAAGTCCTCATTTAGCCTAGGTTACACAGAAAGCAGAGGCTATCTCAGTTAATTCTACTAAAAGGGGAAAGAGGGGTCAGAGGGGTGGGGAGGAACTTCAACCCAGACACTGTATAGAGGCATTCCCGGTAGGCACAGTTGGAAGCGGACTGCTACTGGAACCTACTAAGCAGAGACCACGGAGGCTGTTCGGCATTCTATAAGGCACAAGGGGTACCGGCCACAAAGAATGATCAAACCCGCTGTGAGAAGCCAAAAGACCCCAATCCAAGTACATAAGGTTAAGTATATGAGAGTTTTGCAGCATAGGCATCTTTTTCCCAACCAGGCTTTCCAATTCATCCGCTTCGACATTTGCAAGACGACTGCAAAAATAGTTCTTTCTGTAAAGTGAGGCTCGAGTGTCAACTTCTGGAGTTTCTGAACTCACAGACTGCCATTAAACAAGAGGCTCTCAGCTCACCACTGCTCTGTTGAGTTGCTTTTTCAAAGCCTCAGCAGACGTTCTCCTGGGCACAAACACAGACCCAGAAAATGACTGCCTAATTCTACCTTCCTGACGAAATGGGAGCCGCGAGGGTCTCTAACTGAATTAAAATCACATCACGCCAACTGCTCGCTTATTTGTGCCGGGCACGGAGCCAAACACCTCCACACCATTTATCCTACTTAATCCACCACCAACCAGGCGAGGTGGGCATTATTACTGCCTGCGTGCAGGGGAGGAAATGGAGGATCAGAGAGGTTAAACGACTCGTCCAAGGTCACCAGCTGGCCAAGGGGAAGAGCCCAACCTGAACCTAGGTCTCGCGTTTCCCAACCACAAGTTCCCTGTACCTTCACGGAACAACCAGGTGTCAAGTTATCTTAACTTCTCATGAATTTTTTAAAGGCAACACTCAAGTTCGTAATAAGTTTAGGAGGCAGCAACCGGGGGCGGGGGTTTCCGGGGCGCGCTCTCTCCCCGCACAACGCAGCAGTGTTACCCGCAAGTTAACAGAGAAGCCAACCCGGTCGCCCGCGGAACGGGGCGGATTGGTTTGGCACTGGAGTTCGTGCCAGGCCCAGAAAATGCCATCTTTGCAATCTGGAGGCGAATTCGCCCCGGGTGGCTGAGCCTAGGGGACCGCGGAGAACTGGATCCCCGCAGCCATGCGCCCCCTCTCCTGGGCTGCGGATAACTCGGCGCCGAGCCTAGGGCTCGGCCAGACTTGAGCGCACGCCCACGCCCGCGCCGCCGCGTTCAGAACGCCCAGTCTTTTGCCGCCCACGTCCGCGCCCCGCCCCAGCCCCGCCAGGTGATCCCGGCCTGCGCCCCCCGGATGCCCGACGTGGCGCGGGGACCTGGGGCTACCAGCCCTCCCGCTAGTCCTCCCGCATGTCCGCTGAGTCCCGGACCGGGTGGGGGTGGGGTGAGCCCCGCGTGTCCGCGATCTCAGCAGCCAGCGCTCCGACCCTCCCCGCGCAGGACCCGGTCTCCCATACCTGCAGCATCCGGGGGCGCGGGGCGCCCAGGTAGGTCGCGCGGGCGGGCGGCACGGAAGCTCGCTCGCGCCGCGACCTGGCCGCCGTCTGAGCATGCCCAGTGCAGCCCGCGGGCGGCTCCCGCCGGCCCGGCTGTGGCCGCGACGGGCCCGCGCGCGGGGCGGGGGACCCGGACAGGGGCGGGCTCGGGGCAAGCCCGTGGGACGCTACCAGTGGCCTCCGCGGACCACCTGCCGGACTCCCGCAGATCTCCAGGTCCCCTGGCTCACGCACGCAGGCATTTGTGCCTTTAGCATTTATTGAACACCTACTGTGTGCCTGGCTTTCCGGGATTGCATGCCTAGGAATGGCAAGAGCTCAGCGCTCAACGAATCTGAAATGACAGCGAGTTCCGTGGCTGAGTTGGGGGTCGCGTTGACTCTGGCGGCTCCGTGCCTGAGTTGGGGGTCGCGGGGCTCCTTTGCTGGTCCTAGGACACCAAGCAGGCTAGCCCTTCCCAAAGCCTGCAGGGCCCCTAGTGGCGGGCGTTCCAGCCGGCCTCTTCCGCCTCCTCCCACACCTGCCTTCCTGCGCTCCGACTGCACCTTCCTCCCCATCACACCCTCTGAACTTGACCCGCCTCGAGACAATTGCACTGCCTTTCCCTCGGGGTAGGACGTCTTTTCCCCTGCTTTGCTGGTGCCCTGCGCCCTCTCACCTTTCAGGTACCTTTCGTAAGAGAGACCTTTCTGGATACCTTTCTAAATTAGCCCTTGACCTCTTGCCCCTTCTCCAAGTCCATTATCGCCTTCCAAACATGTATCACTTAATCCATTCAACAGTTACTTACGTTCTTCACACTTAATATATAGACAAAATTTCTGCCCCTTGCTGGGAGTTTGGGAGGGAGTTTCTCGCAACAAACAACAGGTCCGTAAACAAAGCAGTGTATTTAGGTGTTAAATTCTTAAGAACAGGGGAAAGGAGCCAGGCAAGAAAGCTAGGGGGTGGCCCGGTGAGAGCGGGTGGAACAACCAGATCAGGTGACAAATACCATTCAGTTACGCAGCTAAACGAGGACACTTTCTTGGGATGAAAAAGCTGGTGCAAAAACGAGCGCAAGCTTTGTGCCTGCGAAACGGAAAGGCGAGCGCAGGGACAGCTGGAGTCGGTTACCGGCTGTCTCTCTGGACTTAGATTCCCCCTTAAGGAGTACGTCCCTTCAGTGTTAGCTCGGTAGCCCCGCCTCTCAAGAGACCCAGCCTCTAAACGACGCTCGGCTTCCAGTAAGAACTAACAACGTTTTGTTGAATGAAAATGTTAACAAAAGGATGGAGAGATGGTTAGGATCCCATGGTCCGAGCTGGGTGCTAGATGTCCCGAGAACCTTTTGTTCCCATGTCACCATGAGACAGACCCTCAGCTGTGTCTGATTTCCTGGCTTAGATCCTGGTCGGGGTCCCAAGGTAGTGCACCGCTGCGGGCGCTGCCTGAGCGTCGCGTCCGGGGAATTCCGACAGAGCCTGGAGTCCTTGGGGCTGCTCTGTCCTGGCCCCGCCTAGGATCGCACGCAAAACCTGGAGCTCGGGCGCCAAGGCAGCACTATTCGGACTGGCGGGGAGAGCACTGGGCATGCTCGGAGCCTAGGGAGCCCAGCGTCCGGAAGGAAGAACTCCCTGGAGGGGTTGGCGAGGCTGCCCACTGAGTCCCACCTGGCCATCAGTCTTTTACCTCCGGGCAAGGAGTGCTGGGTCATCCTCCTCCCCCCCAAGACTGGTGGGAAGAATTTAGAGACAGCTGACTGCACACAATGTCTTTTACCAGCTGCTGTGTGATCTGCTACCAGAGCCTTGCGCTCTCTGTGCCCTAAATAATACAAATGCCTACGCTTGCATCCGGGGGAGTGTGGGGATTGAAAAAAAGAACGTGAATTTATTCAGTCCACTTTAGATATTTTTCCCCTTGATGGGGCTTGAATTCAGGGCTTTGCACACAGTATGCACGAATCTCTTCCAGTGAACTAAGCCCTGCCCGTAGACTCATTTCTGAAGTGCCTATTTCAATTATCCGTCATCATCTAACACATTTGGACTGCTAAGGTAAGGGACCTGGCAATTGTTAGTGCTGAACAGTTTAAAGTCTGCCAGAATAAATTGTTACCTTTTCTCTACTCATTACTGTTTAAGCAATGTTCTCAGATTTGAGGTAAAAAATAGCTGAGAACGGCAGTGAAAAGCGCCAAAAGTTATTTTTTAATTAATTGAATTTTTGTTTGTTTTTCGAGACAGTGTTTGTCTATGTAGCCCCGGCTTCTCCTGGAACTCACTCTGTAGACTGGGCTGGCCTCAAACTCACTGAGATCTGCCTGCCTCTGCCTCCTTAAAGGGGCTTAAAGGCATGCGCCAGGACCGCCCGGCAAGATTTTTTTTTTTCAATTCCGAATTTGAAATCACCACAATAGAGTTAGGGACATAATAAAAGAATACACATCCAACTGGAAACAAAGTGGATGTTCAAAGGTAATGACTGATTGTGTTCTGATACATTCATTGAAATAATTGTTACAATTAAATCTCGCTGGGTCCTTAATACCTTTCTGTAACTTGCGGCCAAGCTTTATGTCCTGAGTTCAGTCAACCCCCAAGACCCACACAGAGTGGAACAGAACTGACTCCGCCATCTGTCCTCTGACGTTCCAGATGTGTGTACACACATACATACATACACACAATAAATAAATGAAATTGGGCTGGAGAGACGGCTCAGAGGTTAAGAGCACCAGCTGCTCTTCCAGAGGTCCTGAGTTCAATTCCCAGCAACCACATGGTGGCTCACAACCATCTGTAATGGGATCTGATGCCCTCTTCTGGCATGCAGGTGTACATGCAGATAGAGCATACATAAAATATGCAGATATACATAAAATAAATAAGTAAATTAAAAAAAATGAAATTATGAAAGTATACTGCAATATGGAAACAATGATAAATGAAAATGCTGAAAACAATTAATTGGGGAAAAGTAACATAGACACACTTGCCAAGAATGTAAATAATAGAGTTTTAAAGCCAGGCATTTGGCACATGCCTTTAATCCCAGCATTTGGGAGGTGGAGGCAGGTGGATCTCTTTGAGTCTGAGGTCAGCCTGGTTCCAGAATAGCCAGAGCTACACAGAGAAACCCTGTCTCAAAAAACATAACAAAGAAATATATATATAATAAAGTTTGGAGAGTGTTGGTTCTGTTTGATTTCTAGTCCCAGGACAAGGGACTGATGTGCATATTTTACATACCAAAGGAGACCTGGCCTCCAGGTTCTCCCAGTATCCCTCAGTCTCTATCTGGCATACCCTGACCCCAACTTTGAATTTTTCAGCCCAGAGACTGGGATGCCCCTCCCCCAGAGGCTCCTCCCTATATAATCCAGATATTTCTCTCCCTCTTTCTTCTCTTCCCTCCCTCCCTCCCTCCTTCCCTCCTTTCTTCCCACCTCTCCCTCTCCCTCTCCTTGCCTCTCCCTTTTCCTCCTCTGTACACACACCTCTTTCTCTTCCTCCTACTCCCTACTCCATGGTGACTTCCTTGGCCTAGTGCTTGGGGACAGTGAACTCACCCACCCACCCACACACCCCCAGAGCAGTTTCCCAGTAAACCTCCCTTTAATATATCCTAATTTGGCTTGCGTTGGCTCATTTCACTGGCAGACAAATAACCAACCTATCAGGTTTCTCTGTGTAGCTCTTGGTACCCTGGAATTCATTCTGTAGACTAAGCTGGACTTGAACTCAGGGATCTGCCTGTCTCTGTCTCCTGGGTGCTGGGGTTAATGTCATGCATCACCATGCCCACCTCAACATTTTAGTTTTTTGGGTTTTTTTAATGTTGATTAATATTTCGATGTTGTGTTTATGATAGTAAATGCATAAAGACCTGGGTATGGTGGCCTACATCTTTAATCCTAGTATTTAAAGTAGAGGCAGGCAGATCCCTCTGAGTTCCAGGCAAACTTAATCTACATAGTAAATTCTAGGACTCTATAGAGAGACCATGTCTCAAGAAAACAAACTAAAAACAAAAGAGTGGTGGGAGAGATGGCTCAGTGGTTAAGAGCACTGGCTGTTCTTCCAGAGTACGTGGGTTTGATTCTCAGCAGCCACATGGCAGTTCACAACTGTCTGTAACTCCACTTCCAGGGAAACCATCTTACCCTGACACATAAGCAGGTAAAGCATCAATGCATATAAAATAAAATAAAATAAATCATTAAAAAGAAAATGAACAAAATTTAAAAAACACACAATGAAGAAAATTCCTCCCTAAAATAAACATACAAAAGATCAAATTAATTTTGTCTTGTGTATATCTAAACTGTTGTGATTAAGTTCAAATGTGGCCAATGTTTTCTATGAACTTTTTCTTCAATCTTTACAGTAGTTGGTTTGGTTTTGTTAGTTTTTAACTCAGTTTCATGGAAAACAGTTAGAAGTGGATTCCGAGCTGGTGACAGGAGTGGGCTCACAGCTGGTGACACTTGTTGGGGGGCTCTGAAGCCAATCCCATTGGCCTCCTAGTTGGGTGTAAGGTTTTATGGTCTGTTACACACACACACACACACACACACACACACACACACACTATGTAAAGGAGCTGGCCATTGATTGATGAATAGAGGAGGCTGTCTTTTTAGTCTGTCTTTTGCGTGCCTTGCTTTCCCTCCTTTGATGTGCTCTGTAGACCACAGATTACTTTTACCCTCCTGGTCTCCTGTTACTTTTTTGTTCTCTAGGCCAAAATACTCAATAGTCCAGCCTTTTAATCTGGTGCAGCTGGATTGGCATGATGTTATTAGCCTGAATGGCAGGTGATCTTAGAATCTACAGTCTTATGTGAATGAGGTTTCTGGATGGACATGTAATCTTCACCATTGAATTTAGCCAGCTCTAAAGCAAATGGGGCCCAGTTACAAACAGGACTGTACTGAGCCATGGAGAATGGATCCAGGCCCAAAGGGACTCATGTAAATAGATGATGTCCCTGGGCAGTCATTCGGGGGGGCAGAGTCACAACTCACTGGAGACACACAGTCCACAGACCCTTCAGGCCTCGACTGTGAAGAAATAGTCCTGCTGCTTTTTTCTGGAGCAAAGCAAAGGGCTCTAGGAGCAACCCTATTGCTATTACTCTAAAAAAAAAATTAGTTTGCTCTTTGTCTTAGTGGTGCTGGCTCCAAAATCCGAAAATCTCCAAACAACAAACTGAGGGGAGATTTCATGACAGAGGAAGATACGCAGCAGGCTAAAAGTTCACCACTAGTAATAGGCCAGATTGATGGAGGAGGGGTGCGGTATGAGCGGCATAGTTAGCAGCCGCCCCTGGAAGACACCATTTGTGTAGAATATCTAGTGCTCGATTCTGCACAGCAGCAATTGTTTGGGAGAATTAGTAGGAAGAGTTTACTGGAAGAAGCACCACAGACCATCCGTCATTGTCATCAAGACTCAGGAAATCTGGACAGTGATTGATTGGCGGG